GGAACCCATCATTCTTCAGATTGAAACGGCCAACTGGCTTAAGCGGGGGACCCAAGGTGACATTTTGTCAGGGGCCCCAGAATATCTAGCTGCCCCCCTGCATAGAGCAAATGTGGGATTTACGCCCCCACCCCTTAACCTGTAAGGCGTCAGTGCTACCCACTGAAACACCCCCTCAAAAAAATCCTAAATATAAATAACTAAAAAAAAAAGTATAATGAAGTCTTGCACACGGCGGTATAATTTGCATGTTTAAAAAAGATTATATTTTATGATTGCCCATGATTTGATGATCTTTCTGTTTTTGTTGCGGTAAGAAGATCACAAAATGATCCCTTTAGTCGTAATTCTTCAAGTCAGCTATGAAGTTTTATGTGACTTGCATGTAATAAAGGTAAGCAGAAAAACAATTCAACCATTTTAGGAAATTTGCATAATCAGAAGTAGTTTAAGGGGAATTTATATTCCATAATTGTAGTTTATGGTTTTCATTACAAATTAATTCCATCTCCCTTTCCAGTTTTTAAAAAAAATGTATTGTACTGATGGTTCATAAGCAAATTAAAAAATTTGATTCAACACTTTACTGGATTCCAAAGTAAAGAGTTTGCATAACTACTTCAATTATTCTTATCTCAAAACAATGAGGGGAATGCTGGGCAATCAGCAGATATTCTTGTAAGAATAATCGTCAATAAATAATTAGAATATACTAAATCAATAAAATGCAAACTCACAATGAAAAGTTGTACTGAACAGCTTTCTTATCATAAGTAGGATTAAGCAGCAACAGATTAAAACATCCAAGATAGTGAAAATCTATACAAATGTTCTTATATATTAAAAACGAGGTTCATCCAGCACACTCCACACCCTTCAGACGTTCTGTCCACCACATCGACGGCACCACCACATCACCTAGATAGACTGCAGCATATGTCTCAGGAGGCCTCAGGACATCCGTGAGGCACTGAAAGGGGGCTGGGGCACCATATAACCCAAAGGCGAGGATCACAAACTGCTAATGCTAGGGCTACACTAGGGCTATGGTCTGGGATGTGCTGTACGTAGTAGTAGCCCTTGGTTAGGTTCATCATGGAAATGAACTAGGTCCACCCCATCCTTACTACAGCTCATCGACTCTGGGCAGCAGAAAGCTAATGAACAGCTTCCGGAAATGAAAAAGGAATATTATGGAGAATACCATCATGTTTGGCGGCCATCACAATATGCAGTGGCATCCAGGGGCATCGAAAATAGGAGGGAGGTGTCCCCATTGGCAGCAGACCCCCCCCCCCCCCCCCAGATAAATAAATAAAAACATGTTCCTTTTCTTTTATTATGAATCCTCACATTATTGAAGCTAATTTGCAGTGCGTGCAGAGCGCAAAGATAAAACATATACCTAACACAGACTGTAGTCCTGTATCAGACAAACTCGTTTTATCGTTTGGATTTTTTTGGTTATGTTTAATTGTGAAACAGCACCCTAAACAATGTTGGACTTATTTTAAATGATGAAATCTTTACTATTAAAAAAAAAAGACTTTCTTACAGCGCATCCTTCTATGAAGTGACTCTTGCATGTGTGCCCATTGCAATGTCACTATATAGATTGCACCTCCCACTGCCAAGGTATATACTTTGTCCCCCTCCAATGTCAAACTCCCTCCGACGCCACAGGGTGCGGCTCACCCTCTGTGATGTGTGTCCGGTTGACGACAGAGGAGCAGACATCCATGTACTGATCCATAATCTGCATCTCCTGGTGGTCTTTTGGTGAGAGATGTGGAATGATGTAGAACACCTATCAAGCTTTTAGGTCTGACACCAAGGTGCTCTAGGCAGACAGGAGCAGAGTGGATTTCATTCCTTCAGTCTGCTGATATGGGATCCCTACTCAGTCCACCTCCTTCCTGGTTAGCTGACCCGGAAGCTGATCCTGGTTGGCTGACAAGCCCATTTTCTCATACTTTATCTGGAGGTGGCAAGAAACTTGCATGTGGTGATGGGTATCAGAACCGGAACTCTCCATCTTAGATGGAACTCATCCAGTTATTCTTCAACCACGGGCATCAAATGTCAGATACGGTTCCCCATGTCCCGTTCGTTAGATTACTGACCAGAAGGAAAAAGCCTTGGTTTCCCACACCAATCCCTTGCACGCTTGAGCACCGTCGACATGACGTCACTCTGCTGGGAACTCTGACGTGTGTCCTTCTCATGGACACCCTGGGAATGCCCAGAGCTCCCAGTGGCCAGGATTGCCAAGACCCACATTTCCTGCTGGCTTGCCTGAGTGGTCAGTGAGGTATGGGTAAACACACCATGCAGGCAACTCTCTATACTTAGGTCATCCAGCAGCAGATCGGTTGATTCCATGGTTCCACATGCCACCTGTGCTCCCGAGTTCAGGTGCCCTTCCTTACCGGTGGCTCCAGAGATGCCTTGTGGAGACTGTGGCTGACTTCTCAGCAATGACCTCAGACGTGTTGAGATGTGCGTCTATATCAGGGGTGTCAAACTGCAGTGCTGGGGGGCCGGAGCCCCGTGTAGCTTAGTTCTTTCCCTGTTACACCACAAATGATTCAGCTCAAGAGCTGTGTGGTAATTAGCACAAGGAGGTGCAAGGAGTAGAATCAGGTGTGTTAAATGAGGGGAAACCCAAAAATGTGTAGGGCTCTGGCTCTCCAGGACTGAAGTTTGACAGCCCTGCTCTATATCATCATATGAAGTGAGTTCAGTGAGGAACCCATGTGAACCTGTCCACCACCTGTGGGTGTGAGGGTCACTAGTCAGGAGGCAGGAATGTCCCGGAGGCGTTGTCATGACAACATACACTAATGCTTACACAATGATGAGCACTACAGTATATATCTGTAGCAGTCTTTCCCATGTGAGGGCAGTAGACATCCTCTTTTAACTCCAAAATACAACAAACATCGCTTTGTCTGCTTATCATCCAAAAGAAATTAATGCTGATGACATAAGAAGCCCTCTAATACATTATAATCATAACTTGAAAAACTCTTTTGTAACTCTCTTTAGGAAATCAAACATGTCATGCAGCTAAATAGAGGTTGCTGGCTAACCTTTAGAATGTGCATGAGATTGTGTTTGAACACACATTAAGCAATGTATGAAAACTGTTTCCTATTCCCCCTCTCAGTTTCAAATTCCCCTTTTCATAATTCTCTTGAGATAGTGGTGTAATTATGTTTTGATATAAGGTCCAGCGTAGTTTTAGATATACATAGTAAATGGGAACGAATATTACAAGGAATACAGAAGTACATGCTTTTTTTTTTTTTTTTTGGGGGGGGGGGGGGGGTTTTT